GAATGGCCACAGACAGTAATGGAAGTGGAGGAATGGCCACAGACAGGGAATGGCAGTGAAGGAATGGCCACAGACAGTAATGGAAGTGAAGGAATGGCCACAGACAGTAATGGCAGTGAAGGAATGGCCACAGACAGTAATGGAAGTGGAGGAATGGCCACAGACAGTAATGGCAGTGAAGGAATGGTCACAGACAGTAATGGCAGTGAAGGAATGGCCACAGACAGTAATGGCAGTGAAGGAATGGCCACAGACAGTAATGGCAGTGAAGGAATGGCCACAGACAGTAATGGAAGTGGAGGAATGGCCACAGACAGGGAATGGCAGTGAAGGAATGGCCACAGACAGTAATGGAAGTGAAGGAATGGCCACAGACAGTAATGGCAGTGAAGGAATGGCCACAGACAGTAATGGAAGTGGAGGAATGGCCACAGACAGTAATGGCAGTGAAGGAATGGTCACAGACAGTAATGGCAGTGAAGGAATGGCCACAGACAGTAATGGCAGTGAAGGAATGGCCACAGACAGTACCTGACTAACAACCTAACTACCTCACTGTAACAACCCACCTAATGTCCATAGACAGTAACTGACTAACAACCTCACTGTAACAAACCACCTTCCTCACTGTAACAACCCACCTACCTCACTGTAACAACCTACCTAATGTCCATAGACAGTAATGGCAGTGAAGGAATGCCCATAGACAGTAATGGATGTGGACGAATGGCCATAGACAGTACCTGACTGTAACAACCTACCTACCTCACTGTAACAACCAACCTACCTCACTATCACTGTACTAAACTACCTACCTCACTGTCACTAACTGTACCAAACTACCTACGTAACCATTATTGACTGTAACAACCTACCCACCTCACTGTACCAAACTACCCACCTCACTGTCACTGAATGTAACACTACCTACCTTACTATCACTGTCATAAACTAGCTACCTCCCTCACTATCACAAAACTACCTACCGCAGAGTGTCACTTGCCGTCAGTCTCACTCAGTGCAGAGTGTCACTTGCTGTCAGTCTCACTCAGGTTGCAGTCTGTTAGGACCGATCTCTCAGAGATAGTACCCCATTCTCTCTCCCTTCTGTCTCATTATATACTTATTAACTCACCCAAACACAGGGTAGATTGGTAGATAGTTGGCATTTTAATGTTATATTCCATATGTTTATTATATAAAGCCTTCCACCAGTGACATCCGGTGCCCACAGAGCTGATAATTAATCCAGGCATCCGAGCAGCGAATGGAGGGCTCACTAGCTAGCATTCTTATTGAATAAACGGCATTCTGATGGAATTACTGGGTCACATTTGTTTTACTACAATTTACTGATTGTTTCTGAATAACATACACTTAGTCCATGAAAATGTATGTGACCCTGCGTGCTCACCCGGCCATTATAGACAATCGATGGGAGTCACTAAACTGTGAATGGACAGGAATTCAGAGAGAACTTAAACTTTTAGGTAAATGTAGATGAACTGAATTTACTTCCTGCAGAAAGATAAGTCCTGCGCTCACTCCCATCACTGGGCGGCAGCAATGACTATGATACCGGAGAAACTGACGGAAGCAAAGCACAGAGAGATGGACACAGGTTTCTTCAGGAAGGAAGAGATTCTTTATTGGATCACCGATCGGGACTCAGAGGGACTAATGTCACCAAAAATACAGCAAGTTCTGAGCCCTGAACAATAGTGCAGGCTCCCTATATAGACACATAACTCCTCCCATATTAAGCTCCACCCGCACATTCTCTTGACCAATCATTACAAATAAGAATTAACTTCCTGCTTGACCACATGGCTTGTCCAGCACAATGGAGGAGGGGAATGCTACATCCTGTATTCTTGCACATGCTCCGTACACTACTGATCGTATCTTGCCTCGTGCAACCAACTGATCGATACGTCAGCATATGCACGTACACATGCCGCGTGGTAATCTCGGCCTACTAAATTTATTTTTACCGAGATTCCACCACATTCCCCCCTTTGATGCCTCTTGATATTTTACAATTACTTGAGGCATCACTTAACCTTGGTTTGCATACACCACAAGTTACCTTTGAACCAGACCAGACTTATCCTATGATGTGAATCTTCAACACTCGTCTTCCTGCATTGGTTCTCCCTGATCCAGAGCCTTATATTTATAAATTGCCATTATCTGTGCAGCAGCCTTCCTCTCTGCTATATTTTCTATCAGGCTTTGCACAGACCTAACTACTAAGGGTATAAGACACGGCAGGAGTAGACACAACATTAAAATCAGTAGGACTCCACCTACCACTGCCTTAAGCCCTCCAAACCACTCATACCAGCTACCAAACCAACTGCTTGGATTGTACCCTTTCCATACCTGAGTAGGCACATGCGCTAGTTTAACCATATGGCTAGTAAGCTCAGCTATTGCTTGCCCTTCGTCATCTATTTGAAGACAGCAATTGCTCAGGTTAAACTTTCCACATACACCTCCCTCTACTGCCAAAAGATAATCCAAGGCTAATCTATTTTGGTAAACTGCTGTCCTCATCCTGGTATTATGCTTCGCTAGAAGATTGAGCGCTTGTGATATCTCGTTAGTAATGATCTCAACCACCGCCTGTAACCTTATAATGCGGTTGAGCATATAAATAGGGGTTCTATAACCAAAGGTACCATCCTCTGCCCACGTGGCTGGCCCATAATAATCTATAATACGCTGGGAGGCCATTCATTATCTTCCCAGGCACCTATCTCTATGGGTCCCCTTTTCTTCCTATGATTCACATCATACACTTTAGCACCTAAAGTCTCACCTGTTTCAATAGGCAACAAGAAGAAGGATGGTTTTAACATACCCAACACACATGCCCCTTCCCAGTCCTGTGGTAACTCCGAATAGGCCTTCTTACCACAGATCCATTACAAATTCGCTGGGGCTCTCCAGTTAGATGTGATGGATAGATCAAACCATACGTCCTTTAAATTGGCATATCTTGCAAACGGGTTAGATGGTTCTGAGACATTTGAAGCCGACCACCCAGTTGTATTCTTTGTATCATCATCATAAGCTTTTTGCCCTAGACAAGTTAATTCTCCTACAGAAGTATTATACATCATTCCTTTCCTCGCTATGCAAACATAACCTATGATGGAGGTCTTCAATCTCCACTCAGATTTACCTCTAACACTCATATGATAGTCGGCTTATGTAGATATTAATTGGTCAACTGCCTCAGAACCGGACATTACCTCCTTTGCTTCCCAAGGCCATTGGTCTCCCATGTTAGTACCTCCACACACATAGCAGTTGGTAACATTAAGACTACCAGCAATACTTTCGGCTAAATCAATGAACAAATTTTTAGCATTATGGGGGATCTTATTATCTATGCTCATCTCTTCATAAAAGGAATGGTATACTTGATGAGTTTGGGAGGTTACCGTATCAGTCTCTATCCCTATAAACAATATTGTCCCAGGGTCTAAACCCGTCCCATATATTTGAAACCCAAATAAATTACCATATTTACCTAAGAACTTGTCAGGGTTATTTATAAGTATATGGATTGGATTGCATTCCATAGACTTACAATATGGATTAGTAGGCAACTTAGTCACAATCATGTCCTTGTCTGCTGTTTGTCCCCAAGTCACCCACCCCACACAAGACCAATATGGGCAGAAGTTATAATCTCTATTTGGGCATCTTGGACTTACATATTTATTTTTACTACTGGGACAAATATATTTATCATTAGACCCATACGTCCTCTCCCATCTAAGATCCCCACATACATTCCACGGCTTTCTACCACTTGATATTGCTTTACACGCATCAAATAGCAGAGCACCTGAAGAATATACGGATTCTAATACCGCCTTATTAATTAGGGTCCCCTGAGGATCTCCATTTCTGAGAGTCAACCAAATTGTACGGGGTTGATACTCAGGACTGAAGCACTTAGGTTCTCCTACTCCTAAATGACACACACTATATTCTATATTTAAGTATCTACATCTTGATACATCTCCTTTACACTCATATTGCGAATGCCAAGTTAGGGTCTGGGATATATGGTTACCTGTTCTTGTAGTCTTAATGCATACCTCACAGCTAGGAGTGTTGGTACCTCTACCTTCCTGAATATAAAAATACACATAAATAAACATTATTAAAAATACATCTTTTGTCGTCATCCTCAGTCTTCGTCCGTGTGAAGGCACCTCAGCT